ATCATGACAAATCATTTACGATGAAGTCATGACAAAACATATACGATGAAATCATGACAAATCATATACGATGAAGCATTTACGATGAAATCATGACAAAACATATACGATGAAATCATGACAAATCATTTACGATGAAGTCATGACGAAGAAACCTTGACAAAACATTTACGATGAAGTTTTGACAAATCATTTACGATGAAGTCATGGCAAAGCATTTATGTTTAGTTTCGATGAAGTTTTGACAAAACATTTACGATGAAATCATGACAAAGTATTTACGAAGAAGTCTTGACAAATCATTTACGATGAAATCATGACAAATCATTTGCGATGAAATCTTGACGATGAAGTCTTGACAAATCATTGACGATGAAGTCATGACAAAGTTTTGACAAATCATTTACGATGAAGTCATGACGATGAAGTCATGACGATGAAGTCATGACAAATCATTTACGAAGAAGTCTTGACAAATTCATGAGGGTGAAGTTTTGACGATGAAGTCTTGACAAATCATTAACGATGAAGTCATGACAAAGTTTTGACAAATCATTTACGATGAAGTCATGACGATGAAGTCTTGACAAATCATTTACGATGAAATCATGACAAAGTTTTGACAAATCATTAACGATGAAGTCATGACAAAGTTTTGACAAATCATTAACGATGAAGTCATGACAAATCATTGACGATGAAGTTTTGACAAACATTTACGATGAAGTCTTGACAAATCATTGACGATGAAGTTTTGACAAACATTTACGATGAAGTTTTGACAAATCATTAACGATGAAGTCATGACAAAACATATACGATGAAATCATGACAAATCATTTACGATGAAGTCATGACGAAGAAACCTTGACAAAACATTTACGATGAAGTTTTGACAAATCATTTACGATGAAGTCATGGCAAAGCATTTATGTTTAGTTTCGATGAAGTTTTGACAAAACATTTACGATGAAATCATGACAAAGTATTTACGAAGAAGTCTTGACAAATCATTTACGATGAAATCATGACAAATCATTTGCGATGAAATCTTGACGATGAAGTCTTGACAAATCATTGACGATGAAGTCATGACAAAGTTTTGACAAATCATTTACGATGAAGTCATGACGATGAAGTCATGACAAATCATTTACGAAGAAGTCTTGACAAATTCATGAGGGTGAAGTTTTGACGATGAAGTCTTGACAAATCATTAACGATGAAGTCATGACAAAGTTTTGACAAATCATTTACGATGAAGTCATGACGATGAAGTCTTGACAAATCATTTACGATGAAATCATGACAAAGTTTTGACAAATCATTAACGATGAAGTCATGACAAAGTTTTGACAAATCATTAACGATGAAGTCATGACAAATCATTGACGATGAAGTTTTGACAAACATTTACGATGAAGTTTTGACAAATCATTAACGATGAAGTCATGACAAAGCATTTACGATGAAGTCATGACAAAACATATACGATGAAGTCATGACGATGAAGTCATGACAAAGCATTAACGATGAAGTCATGACAAATCATTGACGATGAAGTTTTGACAAACATTTACGATGAAGTTTTTGACAAATCATTAACGATGAAGTCATGACAAAGCATTTACGATGAAGTCATGACAAAACATATACGATGAAGTCATGACGATGAAGTCATGACAAAGCATTAACGATGAAGTCATGACAAATCATTGACGATGAAGTTTTGACAAACATTTACGATGAAGTTTTGACAAATCATTAACGATGAAGTCATGACAAAGCATTTACGATGAAGTCATGACAAAACATATACGATGAAGTCATGACGATGAAGTCATGACAAAGCATTAACGATGAAGTCATGACAAATCATTGACGATGAAGTCATGACGATGAAGTCTTGACAAAATATACGAAGAAGTCTTGACAAAGTGTTTACGAAGAAGTTTCGACAAAACATTTACGAAGAAATCATGACAAAACATTTACGATGAAATCATGACAAAACATTTACGATGAAGTCTTGACAAAACATTATGAAGTTTATACAGTAATGTTAGTCATGAATGTTTGTCCTACGTGTTGGCGTTAGTGTTGAAAAATAATGTTTGTCCTACATGAAGCCGTACAAGCGTTTGAATTTGTTTATGATAAATTACACTCTTGTTTTCTGTATCTATCATACAAACATAAGCAGCACCTGTTTTTGTAAAGTTTATATGAAGTTTTCGATAGTTAAGACCTGTATAATAATAGAATGCGTCCTCATTCTCAACATAGTAGTAGAACTCAAACGAATGCTTACCATAATCTGTTATTTCAACAGCTTCGTCAGATATTTCATCAACGAACTCATAAACTATATCGCCATACTTGCTTTTATTTCTATTGTTTTCAGATCTAGAACACCAACGAAGGTTTGAGATTCTGTTGTCCGTTCTATCATGATTTATATGGTCTATTTCTTTCAAATTGTTTGGATTTTCAATCCACTGTTCTGCAATAATTCTATGCTTTAAATGTACATTTTGTTGTTTAAACTAAGCACAATATAACCATAATTATTTAAGCATTCACTCATAATATGTTTGTCTTTCTTTCGACGAATAGTAAAAGGATATGTCGTACAAATCTCATAATCTTCATGATTTCTCAATGTTTCCCATTGAGTTTGTTCCCCACTAACGTTCTCATTGACGTCCTCAATATCTTCTTCCTCACTGAACTCGTCAATATTTTCACTAGCTCCTTCTGTAATGTTTTCATCGGCATTGTCATTGACTTCTTCTGTAATGTTAGATGTTGTTGTTTCGCTCATGTTCTTTCACTAATGTTAAAAAGTTATGTTGTACGAATTTTGAACAGAATTTAGAGCAGTTATGAAACAATGAAGTATTTTTACGCTATTGAAAGGAACTATGAGAGTGAAGTACATGACAGCAATGACAAAAGGAACTAATATCAAACCTAATGAAATCGCTCACGAGGACATAGAGCTTAACAAGTACTTTGTGGAGTATCTTATAAGTGAAGAGTATGTAAGACCTTACTTCATGTTTGACAGCATGAATGAGGATGTTATTTCATGGTTAAAGAATATAAGCAATGTTTTCGGTAAGTACGTCATAGATGACAAAGGTCTTGTTGTATTTTATGAGACAGCAATACGAACACAGGAACTAATGGATATTATGCACTCAACAGCAAAGAAAGGATTTAGTACTATTGGCATGAATGAACATTGCAGGAATGACATATACAACCTATGCTCACGAAAGCCTTACACAAAAGCAATACAAATGATAGAACATAAGTGTCTAAGGTCAGCAAATGAAATCATTACTGTCAGTGGTTATGAAAGAACTGTTAGCAAAGATGAGTGGAAACAGCTATTCATATTAAGGAAGGACGTTGCTGAACTAGTTAAACCTGTTGCACAAACATTGTTTCAGATAAGACCAGCAATGACTAAGAACCCTTTGACCTTAGTCAATGAGACCATAGAGGTTGAAGATAATGACATGAAAGAACTAGGAATGAATGAGAGAAGTTGTGAAGGATGTTTGAGTCAAAACACATGGTTCTTCAGAGCTGTTAAGAAACTTAGTAAAGAACGACAGAAATATTTTATAGAGAAGTATTGCAAAGGATGTGTAAATGAATTGCTTGAAATAGAACTTAGAGACACTTTCACACTAAAGGACTTGAGAAGAAATAAGTACATGAGTGAAGGGTATTGACATAGCTAGTGTTATAAATGACTTAAGAAGATGTGTTGTCGTTATTGACGGAGCACGTATGACATATCTAGTGAAAGATTATGATGGAATACGAGACACAACAACACTTGTGTCAGTAGATAGCAAGGAATTCAATAAGCTCATGAAGAGTGTTTATGTAGGACGTATTGAAGAAGGATGTGAACGCACTGATGATTTATGAAGCGGGTCAGAACAAGAACTATCTTATGAAGTCAGGCATGAGATTCTTTGACGAAAGAGATGACATTTACAGCTATTTCAGAGGATATGAGTATGAGGTACTGAATGAAGTAGATGAAAGCATTATTGAAGGATATTTGAAACATGTTCACGATGTCATATGTAATGAGGATGAAGAGCTTTATGAGTATGTTTTGAACTGGTTCGCCTACATCGTTCAAAATCCTTGTGGAAAGACTGGAACAGTACTTTTGTTAATAGGAAAGCAAGGAACTGGTAAGAATGTACTTAGTAATGTTCTATGCGAGCTCATTAGCAAGTACGCCAACAATAATATAACGGCAATAGAGAATGTGGTTGGTAGATTCAATGCTGCTATTGAGAACATGAAGCTCATCGTATGCAATGAACTAAGCTCATGCGATACGTCTAAGGTCATGAACCACGACGCACTAAAGTCAATAGTAACAGAGACTCAGTTGGACTTAAATCAGAAGTGTCAGCCAGTAAGAAAGATAGAGAATGTTTGTAATATCATCATGATATCTAACAACTTCAACTCAGTAAAGATTGACAAAGACGACAGAAGATTTGTTGTCATTGACGTAAGCAGCAGATACAAAGGAAATTACGAATATTTCTCAAATCTCATTGAAAGCTTTAATGAAGAGTTTTATTCAAACTTACTGACGTACTTCATGAAGAAAGATTTAAGTGAATTTGATGTAAGGAAGATACCATTCACCAGGGCTAAACAAGAACTCATCGAAATGAACAAAACACCTTACCAAATGTTTTACGAGGAGTTCTATGAAAAGTTTGTATCCGGATGGAATTGTACAGAGTGCTACAGAAGATATAAAGAATTTGCGAAGGAGAATGAATTCTTTGCATGTAGTTCAAATGTATTTGGTGGCAAGATGAGAGAATTTGTGAAGAGAAGTAGAAAGCGAGACGGTTCTGCAAGAAGTTATATTTACGAAGCAAGTATGTATTAGAAGGTCGTGGAAAGAAAGAAAAACAGTGAATTATGAGGAAGTGCTTGAAAAATTCATGGAGTACATGGGAAGCAATATAACATACAACAAAGACATATACAGTGAGTTTAAGTACTACTGTGAACAGCATGAGATTGAAGTAATGAGTAAAGGAGACTTTGAAACGCTTATGAAAGACAGTAAGGAGGTCGTTCATGAGAACAGTATTGAAATAGTTCATGAGAACAGTGAGGAGGTCATACATGAATGCAATGATGAAATAGTTCACGATGTCGTTCGTGAAGAAGCCATTGCAACAAAGAATGATAAAAGGATTTCATAGAACTTAACAAGGAGGAGTTTAAAGAAGGCTATGAGGTGAAAAGATGTGAAGAAGATTTCTTGGCGTATTTGAAGAAAAAGAGACTAAAGCCAATGGCTCAAAATAAGTTTCAATCGATGTTTGAAAAGAAACGTTTGAGCTATGGTGGTGTAAGAAGCACATATTACTTTGTTAAGAAGTGAGGACATTTATTTTTGTCGTTAGTGTTGGAGTTTGTGTTTGTTGTTAGTGTTTGTCATTTGTGCTGAGGTTAGTACTTGAGTTAGTGTTGGAGTTTGTGTTTGTTGTTAGTGTTTGTCATTTGTGCTGAGGTTAGTACTTGAGTTAGTGTTGGAGTTTGTGTTTGTTGTTAGTGTTTGTCATTTGTGCTGAGGTTTAGTACTTGAGTTAGTGTTGGAGTTTGTGTTTGTTGTTAGTGAGAGAATAAATTAAATCATGAACTTTGCCATGTTCTCTGTCCCTAGTAGTTTTCATTATCTCACAGAGTTAATGAAAGTCATACTTTCTATCAGATGAAGCATGCAGATGAACATAACGAAAGTTAGTGAGTTTGCCACGAGTTATGAATAAAATATTGGAATATTAGATGAGATAGCTGATGAAACAGATGAAGATAAATTAAATCTTGGACTTTGCCACACTCTGTCCCTAGTTCCTCAAAAATCCTTGACAACGTTGCTTAGAAATTTTGGTTCAAAACCTCATCTGATTTTAATCTGTTATGCTACCTGTTAAGTTTCGCGAGATTATAAATGTCATGGAGTTATATAAAAAGGATGGACAGCTAGGGACACTGGAAGTACTTGTAAGGCTATCTGTTAAGATTGCATGAAATACTAAAAAGTCATGAAATCCATTATCGCTGTGCTAGCTTCACCTTAGAGTAAAATGACAAATAAAATCACTGAAGCAATGAAACAAAAGTTTTTGGTAGAATACATTAAATCAGGAACTATTCCAGAAGGTTTTTACATTCATACTATGAAGGATGGTAGAGTTCAGTTTAGAAAGATAAAGCAACCATTAGATAAAGAAGGAATTTTGAGAAAGATTAAACTTCATGAGGACAACATTGCTGAACTTAGGAAGAAGTTAGAAGAGTTGGAGAAAGGAAGAGAGTTATAAAGCAATGAATTCAACAGGGTGAAAAAAGAGGTGAAAAAACAGGTGAGATCTCACCACTTCACCTAAATTTATTTTTGTGCTATGTTTTCATACGTGTGAGGGTGGTGATATCATTAATTTTTAAGTTTATTTTTTATTTTATTTTTAAGTTTATTTTTATATAAATGACGAAAACTATTGAGATAACAAACTACAACGGTCATGAGTTCAAGAATTTGTTCTTCGTTCCTCGTGAAAATACATTCTATCAGATACGAGGGAGAAAGGGTAAAGTTAGTTTGAGCGTTTATGAAGGAATGAAGAATGGAAAGTTTATACAAGCATACGATACAAACGGTAAACGTGTTTCATTAGCTTTGTCAAAACTTACAGGTATAAACTATGACAGTGATTTTGACCTATATGAAGAAGAAAGTGAGTCAGAAGATTATGAGCTGTTATATGAAGCACAGCAATGGGAGGAGTTGCAATACTTTTGTAAGTGAGAACGTTTATTTTTTTACATTAGTGAGGTGAAGTGGTTGGCGGCTTTGTAAATATTTAAGGTTAAGTTATTGTTGTCGTTTGTGTTGTAAAATATACGTTAACGGTTTTGTAAAGTGTCAAATTCACATATAATGGGTAAGGAGGCGCGCAGTGACTCCGTACCCATGATATGTATACTAACTCATCCAATGTCGAAACAAGATGGGTATCATTCATCTATCCTCTCCATTTTATCTGGACCAAGCGGGCGAAGGTGACATTATTCCATTCCATTCCTGACGGAACAGAAGATCTTTATAAGTGTTCCGTCATCTTCGCCAGCTTGGTCCTGATCTTCGAAGACCCGAAGTCTCCACTTTCCAGGGTCTATCCTTGCATCTATAATGCAATGAAGGCCTGGAAGAGCTTGATGCCGAAAACAACAGATTCGCCAGAATCTTTAGGGACATCTTGCTTGAGAAGACCATTCATTCGCAAATGGGAGGCCTTTGGGCATTTGCATACATCATTACACCCAAAGGCCTCATGTTTGCTAGGAACAGTATCAATAGCAGAGAATTCCCTCCCCCAACAAGCGGCTACGTGAAGATGTTCCACTACCGGCAGAAAGAGGAAGACCCGATAGAAGATGTCAGGGAAATCTTCATGGGAGACGCCGCCGCTGAAGCAGAAAGAAACACCGAACCACCAGCACCTCGTTGAAGCACAATTGGCCAGCCCAGGATCTTAATAGATTCAATGAAGATCTTCATGAGCAGGAAGAAGTTCATGAGAGTAATGATGATACTGAGGGTGAAGAGCTCTGTGATTCTCCGATGGTTGATGCTGCAATTAGCTGGTTCACAAGCGAACTCAAAAAAAGAGGACGTAGTGATGATGTGATTGATGATATAGTTAAACTATTTAAAGATATGATTGCCAATAACAATCATATCTTTAAAACATCAAGAACTGTAAGTGGCTTGGACATTTTTGATTTTAATTTTAAAATCAATGATGAAAATTGGGGATTGTTCGCAAATATATGCCTCCGCATAACTTGCTGCACTTGTGCGGAGGCAAGCTGTGAAAGAACAATCTCAGCCCAGCGTCTCATCTTAACTTGTTCAAATTTAAACATGAGTAAGGAATTAATGGACGCTAGGCTAAAGATCATGAAGGGAGCTAGTTGGAAAACATAGTTGCTCTTGTCTTTGTAAAAATTATAAAATATTTTTTTTAAATTGTATATACTTGTATGTTTATTCGAAATGCACTGAGGTGGCCAGCCTCAGTGCATAGGTGTTTTTGTATTCATTCTTCATTTTGAACGATTTTGTAATTTGATTTTGTTTTCGCATTTAACTTTGTTATGTATTGTATTGATTAGTGATACTATCCTATGTATTTCCAACTAGAATATGGTTGGCCAGACCATATTAGGACCATACATAGGATATGCATCAACTAATTTTAAACCAATTGTGAATTCCATTGAAGGCCATTCAATGGAATCCACAATTGGTTTAAGTGTTGCAGTAAGCAACACTACAATTAAAGAAATGAAGTGTTTTAAAGAAGAATAAATATGATTTTATTCATTAAAATTGAAAGGATAATAATTCAGAAATTTTGAAAGAAAGACGGCTTTTTTTAATTGAGTGATCTGAAATATAATCAATAAATATTATCAAATTAAAATAAATAAGAGAATTATATAAAAATGCGTTTTTATTTTGAATAAGAATTCAAAAAATGGTTAAAAGTAAATTGTGGTTGAGTAGTGATCCAACTGCTCTACCTTAGAGTATTTCTCCTTTGATTAATCCTCCTTAGATTAATCCTCCTCAGGTTATCCTCAATCTATCCTCAGATTACTCCTCAGATTATCCTCAGACTACTCCTCAGATTATCCTCGAACTACTCCTCAGATTATCCTCAGACTAGTCCTCAGTCTATCCTCAGATTATCCTCAGACTACTCCTCAGATTATCCTCAGACTACTCCTCAGATTATCCTCAGACTAGTCCTCAGATTATCCTCGAACTACTCCTCAGATTATCCTCAGACTACTCCTCAGACTAGTCCTCAGATTATCCTCGAACTACTCCTCAGATTATCCTCAGACTACTCCTCAGACTAGTCCTCAGATTATCCTCAGATTACTCCTCAGATTACTCCTCAGATTATCCTCAGACTAGTCCTCAGATTATCCTCAGACTAGTCCTCAGATTATCCTCAGACTACTCCTCAGATTATCCTCAGACTACTCCTCAGATTATCCTCAGACTACTCCTCAGATTATCCTCAGACTACTCCTCAGACTAGTCCTCAGATTATCCTCAGATTATCCTCAGACTACTCCTCAGATTATCCTCAGACTACTCCTCAGATTATCCTCAGACTACTCCTCAGATTATCCTCAGACTACTCCTCAGATTATTCTCAGATTATCCTCAGACTTGTCCTCAGATTATTCTTAACACTTTGCATATAAATCTCTAAATAATTTCTTATAATACTTTCTTTTATTTTTATAAAAATTTTAAAAATTAATATTATTTTTTTCTCTTACTACTTTTAATGAGTGAAAAAGAGAAAGAGGGGAAAAAAGAGAAAAGAGAAAAGAGAAAGAAAAAAAAGAGGAAAAAAGGGGGGCGGCGATAATTTTATATTGTTTTGTCTTTCGGCCGAATGGCGGCTACTTCGTACCCGCCATTCGGCCCCAAAAATGGCGTATTATTCTATTTTTAAACGGTCATGGCGTAAAACCGTCGCATCCCTAGTTTAAAATAACATAGATTCCTTTAATTCATGATTGTTTCATTTTATAAGAATCTTATAGTTGAAATATAGCTCAAATTATCTTGTGTCTCCTTGTTTCAAGTTATCTTGAAAACGACTTTTTTTTACATTGAAATCTGAATGATATAATGATTCTTTTATTTATTCATTTCAATTGGTAACAGAATGTAAACAAAATTCTAACATAATTTCTCAATTCCAACAATAAGGAAACTAGAGACAATGGAGTAAAACCTTAAATATAAAAATATGATCAATTTTTTTAAAAAAATAAAATTGATGTATTTACACTTTCAATGAAGTAGATGACTGATATTCTCCATGAATTCTATTATAACGCAGGAACGCTTCTCAAAGGTGTTAATATGCCAGATCCTGACCTCATTATTTCAAGCAGATGCATTGAAATATATGGGAATGACCCAAAAGATTATTGCTTTTTATACTCAAAAGAAACCTTAGAATCATTCAGATTCGAAACAAATCCTCAAATAACAAAAATTGGAAAATATGCCTTTTTGAATTGTAAAAAAATACAACAAATTGATCTCTCTGCTTGCTCAAAACTCACAGTTATATGCGAGTATGCATTTCAAGGATGTTCTTCTGTTATAGAGCTTCTACTTCCAGAAGGACTTCAATATATTAAAAATCGCGCATTTCAAGGAATATCTATTCAATCAATTGAAATCCCAACTACAGTAATTGATATAAATGACTATGGACTTGATATTTCTAAATTATCAAACATTACTTTCAGAGAAGGATCTAAACTTCTATCACTATCCAATCTAGCATTTTCTGGCACTAGTTTAGTTGAATTCACAGTTCCAGAGTCAGTTAAATCAATCGCAGGAACGTTTCTTTCAGGAGTTACCACTCTTAGAACAATAAGTGTTCATAAGAAAAATCAATATTTTGTGAGTGATAACTATGCTGTATATACAAAGGATTATTCAACAATTGTTGCTTTTGCTGCAAATTCAACCATCGAATATGAAATCAACCCTAAAACTATGTCCATTAATCTTGGAGTATTTTGCAGTGCATTATGCAAATCAATTACAATACCTCAATGCGTTACATACATAGGACCTTATGCATTTGCTTCTACTAAAAGTCTCGAACAAATTATTTTACCTCCAAATCTAACTACAATTCAACAATATTGTTTTATTAACTCTGGATTAACATCAATTGATATTCCGAGCAAAGTTACATTTATTAATGATTGTGCTTTTATAAATTGTTTGTCATTGAAAACAATCATTATTCCATCAAATCTCAAAACTGTTGGGGGCTTTATATTTCCATCAGATCCAAGTATCAACTTTACTATAAAAGATGACGCTCTGGTTAAGATTGATGATCAAACTTTAATAATGGCCAAAGATAATTCATCAATTTCATTATTACTAGATTCAGCAGCTACTACGATTAAAATTCCAAGTCAGGTTAAAAGAATAAAAACTTTAGCTTTTTCCAACAAAAAACTGCTTGTTTCAATTATTTGTGATGGAACTTCTGAATTAGAAATTATCGAAGATAGTGCATTTTCTAATTGCGAAATGTTGACATCAATCCCATTTTTTCCAAAACTAAGAGAAATCAATAGAGGTGCATTTTATAAAACTAATTTACCTAATGTGTTTACCTTTCCATCTAGTTTGATTTTTGTCGGAAATAAAGCTTTTTCTGAAGTAAAAACATTGGAACGTATCAAATTTACTTCCAATACAACCTCTTTAAATATCCAAGATTCTGCATTTGCTGGTTGTACATCTTTGAAAAATGTTTCATTCGAAGAATGCTCAAGCAATATAAGTTTAGGGCAAAATGTGTTTGAGGGATGTAATTCTCTATCTACATTTAATGTGATTAATAATATTAAAATGATTAATTCTGGTTGTTTTATGAATAGCGGATTGAAATATATTGTATTTGAAAACAACATAACATCATTTGATAATCTTCCTGCTATGTTATTGAAAGGATGTACCAATATCACAGAAATTGACATTCCCAAAAATGTAATATCAATCGGGAATGAATGTTTTAGAGAGACGTCCATAAGACATATTACAATTCCAAATAGTGTTGAATCACTATATTCACAATGTTTTAGGGGATGCACTTTTCTTGAACGCATATATATCTCATCTACATGCAATCTTTTTAGGATATTTCCAGAAATAGTTGAAGATTGTACATCTCTATCATATATAAGTGATTTTTCAAGTAACCATCTTGTTTGTCAAAATAGTACTATTTATGACATAAACTTTGGTCGCGTTTATCTTCATGCACCTGCATGCAGAGACAACTATATAAGTTTTGACCGTCGACTCAGAAGTGTTGCTGATAGCGCTTTTATTAATAGCATTTATATAGAAATGGTTCATTTTGTCGACAGCAGTGTTATAAGCATTGGCCGACGTGCATTTGAATCATGTATTCGTCTGAAACATATTAGCATTCCATTAAGTGTAACTTCAATTGGTAATAACGCGTTTTTGAATTGTAAGAGTCTAAAATGTGGAGTTCTATTCCAGAATAAAACAGAGGATTTCATCCAAACTCTCGTCTCTAGTGGCATTCCAAAGATATCTCTTCGCTCATGTGACACATTAAGTTGCAAATTACAACAATCGCCTAATTCTCCTATAGCCATTTTAGTATTTATCGCTCCAACTCTATTGGGCATATTTTGAATAGATATTGTAAAATGAATGTTATGTAAACCATTTGTCTTCTTTTTTGATTTGTCAACTCTGAATATGCAGAAAGATTATATGCTATCATAATGTTTATTCATAAAATTATTAATTCTATTAACACGTTTTAAATTAAAGGTATCTTTACTATAAATGGTTGTAAAGTGAAGTTGGAATCAAATGTGGTATTTTTTGTTCATAATTATATTATATTTAGGTTACACTAAATAATTTATGACACTCTCTCAAAAGAGGAATAGATGTGTAAAGAAACATAGAATCTAAAACTGTAAGGTCAGAAAGCATACTTAAACATTGTAAATGAAAAAAAGAAGTAAATATTAAGGAAAAACGGTACATTTTCAATATTATTCAAAATTGAATGCTAAAATGAGAATTATAGTCATTGTCTTCATCTTGAATCGATTTTTTAGACCTTCTTGGTTAACGAAATCCAAAAATTATATTATTAACCGTATATAAATATGATATCAAATCAGAATCTATAATTAGATATGGCCAGAACGTTGAACCTTAATGAAGACAAAATAAAGATTGATTGGATGATTAAACCATAGAAATATATAAATAATTTATTAGTTATAGAAAATAATAGATCTCTCTGTAGAAGTTACAGAACTCGAAGGCAAAACTCTAACAAATAGATTTGGATTTGCTTCTTTAAGAGGCACAATCTTTGTTGTGTTGATAGCAATTGTTGATCCGATATTTCCAAATGAAACTCTCATTCTGTTGAAAGTGGAATTATCAACATTCAACTTTGTTTTGACAGAATTTTTGATTTGTTCAAAATTAGTTTCATTGTCAATGTCTATTGTAAAGAACAATGGTTCTCCAATGTGTTTAGACTCAACAACAACATTCACGTAGTTCTGTGATTCATGGTTATTCACATCAATGAAAATGTAATTTGTTTCTTGTGTCAAATTTTTGTCAAATTCAATTTTGTTCATTGATGGAGAATCATCAACAGAAAAGGCATTAAAGAATGGTTGTAATTCTAATGTACCTCTCAATGAATCTTGCAATGTCCAGTTAGGAAGTGAACTGACCAAAAATCTTCTGTTTTGAGGGGAATCGTTCACTTCACAAACGATTATTTTTTCGTCTTCACTTTGTCTTCTGTATTCAACGACAACAAAACTGTCTCCTGCTGGATTCAACGCTATATTTCCTTCACTCACATGTCTCATGAAAGAAGTACCTGACCGAAGTCTAAATAATTGACAATCAACAGAAGAAATTCCAGTCAAAGATGAAGTGATGTTTTTGAACTCGGAAATTGGGAGATTCGAGGGCATTCGAACAGAGATAATTGGTTCTTTAGTGTTTTCTATTCCGAATAAATCAACTTTGATGAATTTCTTCATTTCTAAAAATGTCGAATATAATCCGTCGTTTTGAGCATCATTTATCGAGAGATAGTTGATGATGCTGTCTTCTATTGTTAGTTTAGCACCTGTTTTCGGCTGAATAACGATGATTGAACCAACTAAGTCGTTATTATTTCCGAAGATTTTCGTAATTGGATCGATTTTCTCGGCAGAATCGATTCCTTCAACGAAGAACTCGAAGCCCTCTTGTAATCCATGCGTTACCGATTCCGTTGCACTGAGAATTGTTGATTCTTCGTTGATAGGAATGATTCCAACGAAAGTTAACTTCAAAGATGAGGGATCGAATGTCTTTAGGAAGATGATTCCACGAGAACTGATGTTATCATGGCATACAAATATGGTTTTGTCGTTGCCAAGTGATTCCGCGATTGGTTTTGTTGGATCAAGAATCGAATTTGGTCTTTGGAAGCCATCCATTGAGAAAATAGTATGTGGATAGTTGATACCTGCTTGTATACATACATCTTCAATTGTTTTCATGCGGCTAATTGATATTTTTGTTTCTTTTGAGGGATATCTTATTCCTGTTTTTCCTTCTTTCGTGTTCTCAATGACTCCTGAGTCTGTAATGACTGTTATTTCAGTCATGTTGGTCGATGTATTGAAGAATTCCGTGATTTGATTTGATGGAAGCGCCGGATCTTTAAATAACCTCTCTTCTTCATCGGCCATGACATACATAAGGATGTACGCGCCTCCATCAAAGTTCTTATCGTAGACATCAGCGTTAGATGCAACTGATACACTTGTATCATTGAACCAAAGCCATTTTTCTTCGGAAGTAGGCTTGATAAACGAATAGTAATGGCCTCCTGTTGCTGATCCTGTATGGCAGATGACAGCATGGAGATTATATTTTACTTCACCATCGTATGTGCTTTCAACGATTAAAGAATTAGTGTATTCGACCCTATCAGTTAGTTTAATTCTATTGAAACTTCCATCAAGACCTTTTGCATATGAAAGTCTGAGTAATTGGATGGTTAATACGACAGGAAGCTTTTCTATAATGGTTTTCATCTTAGCGTATGTTCTAACACCATTAATTGTTATCTGGTCATCAATATCTGATGGATTTCCCAGTCTTTTGATGGCGTTTTGGACATTTGAAGAATTTATTATTGGAACATTCAACATTCTTGTGTCTTCCTTCTTCCCAAGCATTGACCAGTCCTCTGTATTGACGGGAGCAGCCATATTGTAGTAGATCGTCGTAAGTAAAACATTAAAATTTTGTAATAATTGAGGAATTGATTTAATCTTCTGAGAAACAGTATTTAACAAGACATTAAGAAATTCTGCTGCATCATGTTGAATATAAACTTCATCATTCCAACCAAAAGATTTTGTCAACAAATTTGTAGATAAAGCTTCGTTTTCGTATTGGAGCTTGTAGAAAAGTATTTGTAGATTTAATACAGGATCGTTTTCTTGCTCAATCGGCGTCTTTGAAGTAATAGGAATATTATAAATTAAATTACGAATTGCAGGGTTTGTAAATAGTGATTGTAGTGAGGAATTCATATAACAAGTGGATCCTTGGTTTATTAGGCCAATAAAACCAACTGCTTCGCGAGTATTTACTGGAGTTGGTGGAGGAGTATAAATATATACTGGTTTTGCAGCAGGACGCTCAAGAGGAACAACTTTTACAGCGTTTTCTGCCTTTTGTTGTCCGACTGTAGAGCTTGCCGTTTTTTGAGAAGGAATAACTTCAAAATTGAAAACAACTTGCTGTTTTTTACTGATTTTCTTGATTAAATTGCTAGTACTAAGTGATCTTTTGCCGTTTCCATTCTTATCCAGTGAAATATCACCTTTTTTATTATAAATTTCTGTTTTGGATGAATTTTCGACGAGATATACTTTCTGAATTGTATTGTATTGTCCTGTGTTTCCTTTTGCTTTGATTTCTACTGTGAAATTGATTGGATTTTGATTTAATCTCAGAGGGAGATTCAAATAAAGCCTTGCTTCTATATCACCCATATTAACAAAGCCTGAATCTGCAACTCTTGATGGTCCATGAAATGGATCATTAAGAATTAACTCTCCAAACATTTTTTATAAAAATTTAACTTTACATGTCAAAATTGTAAAGTTGATCAAAAACCAAAATCTTTAAACATGGATCTATAGACATCAGTTATTAGATTGTAATTATAATTTTTAAGATTGATGTTAGCACCGCATAAATCAAGTCGAATTAAAGAAAATTGAAAGAAAAAGATTTCATTTTCTGTGAATATTTGTAGTATTGCAAATTTTAATAGATATATGTACTTACATGATATGTATAAATGTATATATATATAAAATAATAATAGTTATTAAGAATAGAGTTTTTTAACATTTAGGTTTTGAAAATATTGATGTTTCAGACTTTGTTATATTCAACTCCTGAGTCCTGGTTTTCTTTCCTCTTCGTGTGGATGCAATAGACTACGAATGAGATTATGAGAGCGATGAAGACAATGACACCAATTGATGCTGGCAAGACAACACACAGATAGAATTTCTTTACAGAATCGGCGTGTTTGTACGAATCTCCTGCTCTGAGTTCCATCTTGTAAGCGATGCTATTGTTTTCGATGAGTTTCGTGAAGTTTACGCTTCCGATATTTGCGATGTCTGCTATCGTAGTTTTAGTAGAATTTATTCTGACAGGATCTAAGTACAAGTCACTGTTTCCTGTGCTTGGTAACTTGTTATTCCATCCACCGATGAAGATGATGAACAAGAATTTGTAGTCAATTAAAGCACTTCCTTCCCAGGAAGCTTCAACTTCGTTATCGGTTCCGTTTATCATGATGAGGGGATGAGAAAGGGAATAGCCTATTTGAACAGTATTTTTGACTGTGTTGTAATCTCCCTCGATCTGGACGATTGCAGGTCCTGAGATTATTATCTTGTTATAGTTTCCTGTAACTTTGACAATACTCATGTATTGAGATGTGATTTTGATATTCCTCTCTCGGCATGTGACGTTATAATAGCGTACATCTTGTGAAGGTGTTATCGTGATTTCTGTTTTACCGTTGTCATCATAGTATGGTAAGTTGATAGGTTTGCTCGAAACAATTTCGTCGTACTGCTGATAGAAGATATCAGTGTAATCAACAGATGCTGTAAGCGCATGTAATATTGCGAACATCAAGAAAAATGATTTCCTTAATTTAATAATTTTTTTGAATTCAAAATTTCTGAAGATTTTGCGTAATCCAATTTTATGCTCTCAATTTTTTAAAAATATTTTGATAACTCTCAACGGTGAAAAATTATCAGATCTGCATAATCCAAGTATAGTTTTTTCAATTTATGAAATTAGAGATATACTTTATTTCAATCATCTTTAACTCTAATGTTACATTGAGATTTGATTTAAGAAATGTCAGATTATACAATTTAACTATGTTATTTTAACAATTTTATTATTTGTACTATGACATTTAAATATGATAATGCTTAAAATCTCAACAAAACCATGAAGAATAACAAAAAAACTTTAATTGAACTAAGCTTTTATTAAAAGATAACATTTTTATACTTTTTATTTCTGTTGGATTATAATTTGCTAATCTATCCATAAATTGAACGTTGTCGATTTTTTTTGAAATCGACATTTTTTGTAAGTTTAATATAGCTTCTGTTTTTACATAAATAATATATTATTGTATATGTTAGCATTAGATATTTAAATTTGATTTTAATTTTCATAATTTCATTTGAGAAATTAAAGAAATCTTCATTACTTTATGTATTTTTTTTATATTCAAGAGGTAATTATCATATTAAAATATAGGCATAAATATATTGATCCAAAAAGAAAATATATTATAAAAAAAATTGAAGAAATTTAATTCAATTTGTTAATGTTAATGTTGTGAAATGCATGTTGTTATAATAACTTATATCCATTTGATTTAGGTTATCCAAATTTGTTATATTTCGCAATATCAAATTTGTTATAATTCGCAATATCAAATCGGATCAATTCAATGTCATTCGAAAGAATATTTTTATGGCAATGTTGACTGATTTTTATAGCATTTTCGAGTGGAAATATTCCTTTGAAACAAATAAATTAATTAAAAGTTGACAGTCAGATTTTGACAAATACTGATACAATTCAAATGATACTGATACAATATTTATTTCTGAGTTTCGTATATCAAACGGTAAACTTTCAATGGTTATATCAATGATAAACAATAGAGAAATAAACAATTCTACTCATCAAAAAAAATAAAAATTAATTGAAAATTGAAGTGAGAGTTTGATTTCACTTTTTACCTTTTTTTTATGACAATCAGTTCTTTTGATCAGCAGATTTCATACTGATAACATGAATCGCACATGAATTAGGGCTTCACAGTCAATACTTTATATACTCAATAATAACTTCTTCGATTGTGAGAACTGCGTCGACGCGAGAAATTCATACGCTTATATTTTTCAACTGCACCAACCATGGTATCAAATCCATTTTGAGTTACAGAATAACATGAGCACCTTTTATAATATATATTTTTTATTTTGAATTTTAAACATCAATAGAATCTGAATGATATTCAAAATACTTTAGTGTATAATTATGATCTAACTAATATATCACTTTCCGCGATATTTGATCAAAAGTAGGGTATTTTAAAGTGTTTGTAAGCAATATATTGCATGAAATCTTTTTATGGCAGGTAATCCAAAAAATATAGCGTAAATATCATTATTACAGTGAGATTTGAATTTGTTTGGAAAATTTATTGAGTTAAGCATTATCATATTTAAATGTCATAGTACAAATAATAAAATTGTTAAAATAACATAGTTAAATTGTATAATCTGACATTTCTTAAATCAAATCTCAATGTAACATTAGAGTTAAAGATGATTGAAATAAAGTATATCTCTAATTTCATAAATTGAAAAGACTATACTTGGATTATGCAGATCTGATAATTTTTCACCGTTGAGAGTTATCAAAATATTTTTAAAAAATTGAGAGCATAAAATTGGATTACGCAAAATCTTCAGAAATTTTGAATTCAAAAAAATTATTAAATTAAGGAAATCATTTTTCTTGATGTTCGCAATATTACATGCGCTTACAGCATCTGTTGATTACACTGATATCTTCTATCAGCAGTACGACGAAATTGTTTCGAGCAAACCTATCAACTTACCATACTATGATGACAACGGTAAAACAGAAATCACGATAACACCTTCACAAGATGTACGCTATTATAACGTCACATGCCGAGAGAGGAATATCAAAATCACATCTCAATACATGAGTATTGTCAAAGTTACAGGAAACTATAACAAGATAATAATCTCAGGACCTGCAATCGTCCAGATCGAGGGAGATTACAACACAGTCAAAAATACTGTTCAAATAGGCTATTCCCTTTCTCATCCCCTCATCATGATAAACGGAACCGATAACGAAGTTGAAGCTTCCTGGGAAGGAAGTGCTTTTAATTGACTACAAATTCTTGTTCATCATCTTCATCGGTGGATGGAATAACAAGTTACCAAGCACAGGAAACAGTGACTTGTACTTAGATCCTGTCAGAATAAATTCTACTAAAACTTACGATAGCAGACATCGCAAATATCGGAAGCGTAAACTTCACGAAACTCATCGAAAACAATAGCATCGCTTACAAGATGGAACTCAGAGCAGGAGATTCGTACAAACACGCCGATTCTGTAAAGAAATTCTATCTGTGTGTTGTCTTGCCAGCATCAATTGGTGTCATTGTCTTCATCGCTCTCATAATCTCATTCGTAGTCTATTGCATCCACACGAAGAGGAAAGAAAACCAGGACTCAGGAGTTGAATATAACAAAGTCTGAAACATCAATATTTTCAAAACCTAAATGTTAAAAAACTCTATTCTTAATAACTATTATTATTTTATATATATATACATTTATACATATCATGTAAGTACATATATCTATTAAAATTTGCAATACTACAAATATTCACAGAAAATGAAATCTTTTTTTTTTCAATTCTCTTTTCCACAGATCAATCATCTTTAAATTCATACTTAATTTTATTCAAATTTTACTTCATTATGCATAATAATTGCTATATTCTTATGGACTTTATAGTCAAACATGTTTTTCCTATATCATTAATAAATAACTGGGCTTTATATGAAAATATAGCGTTATCTGAAAAAAAATCCTTTCACTCATGAAATCTTTTCATAATTGAATAAAAAAGGAATTGATTCGAAATATTGATAATTTTATTCATAATTATTTACAAACAAATACCTTTATATATCAGTTTAGCTATCATCAACTTGAATTTTTGCCCCACAATTTGGACATGTTCCATATATACAGTGGAATGATTGTTCCATCTTCCTGTTCTCTCTTAACCAGTCTACAAGGCAAGATCTGTGATAATGTTTTGCGCATTTTGGATTTTCACAAACAATTTCAGGTAACTCGCCTCCAAATCGTTCGCAGAAGCAGATTGGACACTCTATCTCTGTCTCACACTCTTCATCAGCTCTCTTAGGGAATTTCAAGTTGAGAATTGCCTCCAAATTCTCTCTAATTGTCTTTGAAACATCCCATTTATTTACGTTTTCATCAAATTGATGTTGCATCTCTCTTTTCGCTTGATCTGAACCTTTGAACTTGATAATTGGTCTGTATTGTGCTCTGAGTGGTTTAACTTCTATCTGTATCCAGAGTTGTGGACTTAGATATATCATTCTCATGCAACAATTTAATGTCGGAACATGTGGATCGATTACGAATGTATTTTTGTCTAAATCTTCGAGCTGTGACCATAGAGTATCAAATGATGATAATGATTCTTGATAAAGATCTACAATTGAAGAAATTTTGGAAGATTGAGGATCCCAATCAAAGTTAATTGAAACAGGTAAGTTCGAATTAACAGTAGGAGTTGAATATGGAAAATTTGTTGGTAAATCAAATCGAATTTCTATCTTTCTACGCTTGGAATCGTAAATAACAATTTCAAAATATGATAATGTAGTATCAATTTTAGTTATTTTATCCCACCCTATACTTCTGATCTCTTGAATGACTTTTTTAAAGTATGGTGTCGATAGTTGATTAGTATTTAATTTGATTTCTGGTCGTAATTTAAAAACAAGTTCGCTTAGACGTTGACAAAACAGCTCTACTGATTCTGAACGCTCGAGTTCTGCTTTTATGAATGATTCCTTCCTTGATAAAAGATTGCATAATTTTGATTCTGCTTCAAAATATGGAGGATCTTTAGATATGCAACATATATAATCCTCGGTATCAAATGCCATAACGCATATACTTAAATTTTTATTTTTAGAATCATGCACAATAAAAAATTTCGACATCCTTATAAAATTTACTACTTTTTTCTTGGGATTTCATAAAAATGAATACAATCGAAGCCATACCCTACGGATTTGTTGGCCATCTCTAAGTTCAACTTGAATCGAATTTAAATAATTAGACTTTTTCGTCTGGATTATTCATTAATTGTAGAAAATAGGTTATTGTAGCAAAAATTTTTTATTTTAGACCTGCTCTGAAGCATTACTTGCTTTATTGAAAACGAAATAGAAAAGAACGAGGCTAATAATAGTAACGATAATGAGAGCGAAAAGGACAATTAACAGAATTACCCACCATGCCAAAGATGGTGCATATGATTTTGGTGAACTAGGGAAATTTTGATGAACATTCTTCTCGGTGTAAATACCAGCATTAGTTGGAAGTGTAGCTTTGAATTCGGGGAAATAGAACTCTTCTTCCTCTTCTTCATCAGCTGATGAAGATGTTGCTTCCTCCCACATAATCTTTAAATTTCCGCTAACAGTTGTAGGCTTTTCATTAGCTTCTTCTATTTCTTCCTTGTTTACACTAAGCGCAATATAGGCACCCTTATTTGATCCCATGGTTCCTTCTCTTGGACTTTGATCTATCTCTTCATAATAATCACCATAGTAACCGAAACCAACGTATTTATCTCTAATGTATTTATATGTCAAGCGCTTGCTTGAAAGTGAGAAAAAAGTTTGCTACTATCGGTTGTTTTATCAGCTAGGTTTCGATCTAATTTAAATGAAGTATCACCTTTTTTAGTTGTAGCTACCACGGTTTCAATAGATTCTTCTATTAAGGTTCCGTTAACTTTAGTTGAAATTCTATAGGATGGTTCAGCAGCAACAAATTGGAGTTTAAGAGGACAACTAGTTTTAATAATTGTAACTGGCTCCAGAGAAACAGAATAATTGTCTGATTCGGGTGTATATATCGATGTTCCCAGAACAGCAACTGGGTTATCAACTTCATCTAATTTTTCGAAAGTGACTTTTTCTTTATCGATTTTTGACGTATATGCTATTCCTTTAAAAGTTGTATTACCCGCCAAAATTACAGAACCAAAAATACAGTATTAGGTCAGGTGAGTGGGGCTTCCAGGCGCGTTGCGCCCTCTAGCCCATAAGAAATTTTGCCCAAGACCCAAGAGGAGGACCGAACCCCAGCCGACCAGCCGGTGACAAAACCAAAACCGTTGTTATTTACATCATATTAATGGTGTCACTTTTTAAGTGTCACTTTTTGTGTCACTTTTCACAAATTATATATGTTTCATGTTTTGTCACTTTTCTGTCACTTTTCGGGTAAAAACATTTTTATTATTATATATAAATGAATTTTACAAAACCACCGTTACCGTTCTTTGGAAATAAGAGTAGATGTAAAGATATTATATTGAGAGAACTTAAGAAACTACCGAATGGTCTAACATTTGTAGATTTGTTCGGTGGAAGTTTCTATATATCCCATTTATGTCATACCGTATTTCCTGACTCAAAGATTATATGCAATGACTTCGACAACTATATGGACCGTCTCAAACATAAGTTAGTATGGTTATCTTGTGTACTGTGGCACTGCTCGCCTCCGTACACAACTTAGCGGTTTTGACACTTTACGAAACCGTTAATGTATATTTTACAACACAACCATAACACAACTTAACCTTAAATATTTACAAAACCATCTGACACATAAATGATTTCACTAACGATTTCACTAACTACTTCACTAACGACTTCACTAACGAATTCCCTACCGTCCTCACTAAATAAAAATAACCTTATTTTTATTTTTTTAAATTTTTTATTTCATTACAAAGACATGTCCGACTACATTTACTATGACTCTTTCCCAGAACGTTTCCGTGAACTATTCAAAACTCAAGTAAAACTGAGAAACATGCATTTTAACAAAGACAGACCCATTGACGATGAAAGAAACCCTGAATATATTACAATCCCTTATGACGCAAAGTTCATTGCATACATTCCTTATGGTCGCAGAGGAACGAAAACTATTTCAACAAAGAACAAAAATTATTTCTGGAGCGATGAAGAAAATTGCCTTATCTACATAAATGCATACTTAAATAAAGCTACATATTGTACAAAAGAAGGTTGGACTGGATTTGAGCTCTACATATACGACGACGATGGAAACAGACGTTGTGTATACCCATACGATAATATGTACCATTGTTTTCATCAAGCATTAAACGAATACATAGTCAGTAAGGGTCTCATTCCTGCTGAGTAGAAATGTTATATTTTTGTTCTGTCATTTATATAAAAATTAATGATATCACCACCCTCACACGTATGAAAACATAGCACAAAAATAAATTTAGGGTAGAAGGTTAGATCTAACCCGATATCTAACCTCTTTTCTAACCTCTTGAATTCATTGCTTTATAACTCACTGTCGTCTGCTTTCTCCAACTCTTCTAACTTCTTCTTAAGTTCAGCAATGTTGTCCTCATGAAGTTTAATCTTTCTCAAAATACCTTCTCTATCTAATGGTTGCTTTATCTTTCTAAGAACTCTACCATCCTTCATAGTATGAAGTAAAAACCTTCTGGAATAGTTCTGATTTAATGTATTCTACCAAAAACTTTGTTTCATTGCTTCAGTGACTTTAGTCGTCATTTCAATCAAATAAAAATTTTAATATTAAATAAAAATAACGTTATTTTTTCAGTAAGGAAACGCAGAGTTTTACGATTTATTTGAGGAGTAGGTTCTGGTTTAAATGTGGAGTCGGTTTAGGAGTTGACTTTTGAACAGGAGTTTGTACTTCCATAGGTTCAGGAGTCATTGAAGGTGTGTTTGTGATGGTGTTGGAGTTGTTTAACTTCAGCTATTTTCAGTATTATTATAAATTTGCTTTATTCTTTTCAACATCATTACTGCTCCTGCTGTAGCTAGCAAACTAGTGGGAGACCATATTTTATATAAGGACTTGACCAAATGCTATTTTGACAGGACTTGGTGGAACACCTAACCTTGGTGAGACTGCTCTTTGCCATTGTGCAGCTCGTAAGAAATATTCAATAGGTGCTCCATAATCGTTTGGTAAAGTTTGTTTCACAGATGGTGAAGGTTCACGAGAGCTTGATGAAGAACTCATTTATAAGCTTTAAAAATAAACGTTCATCCTTTATTCCTCACTGTCGTCAGTTGCTAAGTTATAGTCGTCAAGTCTTATTATTGGGATTCCATTAGCACGCACCTGAATGGCAAAGCAACAATCCCTATAAATCCAATAAGTGGCTTTGGTACGTTTTCAGTTGCTAGTTCAATAGGTCCTTTAACAGACAAATTTGTATGTTATTGGAGCAGTAGATGTTTGACCTTGTTGGAAGCAAAAGTCCACTTCTGTTGGAAAACCACATAAGAAATGTGTGTTGTCATAGCTATTCCCATTTATGTTCCACACTACCATCATCCACAATGACCTCATAACATCTTCATTAATCCTATCATATCATTGTTTGTATTGCAGGCGTTCGCAACCATTTCATAAAATACAGGTCCATATGATTTTTCAGGTTCTGCAGGCATATTTCCATAAGCTCCCATGGAAAGCTGAAGATATTTAAACTTAGGGTTCTCAAAATTAACATAAATAGTTGTCTTTCTTTCTAAATAGTGCCCAAATACTTTTAACATTAATAGGCGTATAAGCTGCTGTAATGTTGCACTTGAACTATCTGTATTCTTTGAGAATGAACCGTCCATAGGAATCAATCCATAACTTTAAAGGAAAACATAAAGCCTCGTTTTGTATAATGTTCTACAAGTTCTGTATAAATGTTAGGGTCTAAAGAGAATGACTTTGGATGAATGAAACATTCATTAAAATCCATTTTGTTCGAAATAGTTGCTGGGTTACAGTTGTAATAGTAACTGTTCCACTAGCTTCTACTGCCTTCGTTATCATAGTGAATGGTTCATTCCATGGAACAAATTTATTTGTCGGTGGATTTGAATCTGAAGCAAATGCAACTTTAGAGTTGGATTGAAAGCAATGATATCATTTACAGATATAGATGTGCATTGTAAGGCGTCGCTACTGAACTTTACTTTAAGCTGAATGTTTCCTGCAAAAGCTGGAATAAATCGAATAGCTTCTAATGGAAGGAATCTTCTAACAGGAATTCTTAAACGAAGCTTAAAATCAAATGATTTTCCTGCTGTAATTGGACCACTAACAATTTGTTCCTGTTCTGCATGTCCCGAATGACTCCATACATCTTCATTCGAGTCTTTGAGAAAACATCTACTTTCTTATTTGTTCGGTAGTTTGTGAGTTTGAAGTTATATATGCTTCTTCTCTTGCGTGTCTTGAGAATATACGATACGACCATTTGCAAGGATTTGATATCCAGCAACTGCATAGAAGAGCGTCATCGAAACCAATCCAAATCCTGGTGGGTTGTTTTTATTGGAACCTGAACCAATTTCTTTATCTGCAATAAATTGACCTTCCATTTTATACGTAATGAATGTATTGTAAAGGTCAACATATTTTCACCAGGAGGTGAGAGATTGAATGTTACCCATGTGTTATCTTTAGCAGTTCCAGGTTGTGATGGAACTTTGCGTCAGAATATTTTCTATTAGTGTCACCAATTTGAACTGCATTGTCTATGATATCGAAATATGAGCGAATCTGATGAATATGCTCTGCTGGAGTAAATTCGTTTAACTGTTCGTTCTGCATGTATTTACTTCAGATAAAAATATCTTTTACTTCATTATTCTCACTCTTCTTCTTGGTATTCGTGGTGGAAGTTGTTCTTGACATTTTCAATGAACTGTACATTCTCTTTTGTCTCAACTTCTTTCACTGGCGGGTCAGGGTTCTTTGACTCGGTTTGTTTTTCAATGAAATTCACGAACTTGCAATAAGCTCTTGGTTCGTTATTGAAAGAACATCTGGCTTTTTTCTTCTGGTTCTTTTGGTGGCTCAGTTTGAACAGAAGGTTTTATATGGGCTTCGTGACTTCACCCTTGCCATGCACCTTAATGTTGTCGCTTTCTGCATTCGCTAATGGAACCTTTCTTTTTCTTACGTATATTTTACCATCTTACTCTGACTTACATAATAGAAAGGATGTTGTATTCCTCTGGCGTCATTTAATATAATAGACTCTCGTTCTGATTTTGACAAGCTCATTTTACATCGGTTAAAGTTTTAATTTAGTTTTTTATCTACAGTCAAATGACTCAGACAAGCCCTAGGACAAGACCCAAGGTGTCATAGATGTTGAAGCATTGAAGAAAGAAATTCGTGAACAAATTTTATCCGAACTGAAGGAACAAAACCGAAACAAAAGCCAGAGAGACCAAAGAGAAAACTTAGTGAAAAAACAACTAGCTGCATTAGCTGCTGGAAGACAGAAGAACCCACGTTTGCTGGCGAAAAAAGCTAGAGAAGAAGCAAAAGCAAAGGAAGAACAAAAAGCTAAAGAAGCTGAAGCAAAGAAAGAGTAAATGGTTTATTTTTATCCAAACTAAATGTATAGACAAATACCTTTAACTGTTGCGTTCAGTAGTGAAAACCCTGACGT